TGGCTATAATCCACCAGATCTGTGAGGAAGCTGATGACCAGTGTTTTAAACTGTGCGTCTGAGAGTTTTGCTATTTCTTCGTCACTTAGATTTATCTCTGGGGCTTTGAGTTCTCCCTGCGACATTTTTGGTCTTGTTCTGGCCCTTTAATCAAAATCCGTTTTTTTAGCATAGAAGTTTAGATTATTGATTCAAGTTCTTCTTTTTAAATATAAGTTATTACAGCTATGAATTTGTCCTTAAGTGCTGCTACTCATAGGTTTTACTATGTTATATTTTCCTTTTTAATCATTTCAAACTATTTTCTAATATTTCTTGTGATTTCTTCTTTCAGTCATTCATTATTATTTAGGAGGGTTTTTTTTTTTTTTAAATTTCCACGTAGTTGTGAATTTGCTGAGTTTTCTTCTTTTATTGATTTCTAATTTCATTCCATTATCATCAGGGAACCTAATTTCAATTCCTTTTAATTTATTGAGACTTGATTTATGGCTTAACATAACATATCCTGCAAAATGTTTCATGTATACTTCAGAAGAATATATAGTCTGTGTATTCTGCTATTGGTATGTAGAGTCTCCTGTATGTCTGTTAGGTCTAGGTTTGTAGTTGTTCAAGTTCTTATTCCCTTATTGATCTTCTTTCTAGTTGTTTTATCCATTATTGAATGTGGAGTATTGAAGTCTCCAACTATATTGTTGAATTGTCTATTTGTTTTTTCATTTCTCTCAGTTTATGCTTTATGTATTTTAGGACTTTGTTGTTAGATATACATAGATGTTCCTAATTATAATATCTTTTTCATGAATTATACCTTTCATAATTGTAAAATGTCCTTTGTCTCAGGCAACAGTTTTGTGTCTTAAATTTTATTTTGTCCGGTATTAGCATACATATTCCAGCTTCCTTTTGGTTACTGTTTGCACAGTTTATATTTTTCCATGAGGCACTGTACATATATCTTTTATGTTCCCTGTGTTTTAACCTGTTTATGTCTTTGAATCTAAAATAGTCTCGTTAGACAGCATATAGTTAGATCATGATTTTTAATTAATTCTGCCATGTCAACTTTAATTGTATTGTTAAATCTATTTAAATTTAATGTAATTACAGAGAAGGTAGCAATTGTTTTCTATACATATATTTTTTGTTTCTTTAATCATCCATACTGTCTTTTTTTGCATTAATATATGTTTTCTAGAACCATTTTAATCACCTGTCATTTCTTTTAATGTGCATATCCTGGTGTTGTAATTTATGTTTTAGTTTATAGTAACCTAAAACATAATTTCAATAGCATGCAAAAACTTTGCTTCTTATAGCTCCATCCTTTCCTGCTCTTTTGTGACATTATTGTAATACAACTATGTCTTTATATCTTACATGCTGCTCATCAACATAGATCTGTAATCATCACTCAATGCAGTTTTCTTTTATATTGTACAGGAGAGAAAAGAGTTACAAACAAAAATATATTTTTGCTGTCTTTTATATGTACCATAGAGTTACCCTTACCAGTACTTTTTGTTTCTTAATGTGGGCTTGGAGTTGATGTGCAGTCCTTGCATTTCAGCCTTAAGAGCTTTGTATAGTATTTCTCTTAGGACAGGTATAAAGTGACAGATTGTCTGATTTTGTTTAATGAAAAATGCCTTAACTTCTTCATTTTTGAAGGAAAGTTTTGGTAGATATAGAATTCTTGATTGATAGTCATTTTCTTTCAGCATTTTGATTGTGTTATCCAACTGCCTACTGGCCTCTGTGGTTTTCAGTGAAAAGTCACCTGTTAAATCATTTTGTGGATGCCTAGTTTGTGAGAAGTAACTTCTTTAATTTTGCTTTCAAGACTCTCTTTCTTTGCTTTTCAGTAGTTTGGTTATGATGTGTTTGGGTGAAGATATCTTTGAATTTATTATACTTCAACTGTATTCAGCTTCTTGGCTGTATAGAAGAATGCTTTTTATCAAATTTGAGACGTTTTAACTATTATTTTTTCAAATTCTTTCTGCTCCTTTCTGTTTATCTTCTCCTCCTGAGACTTTCCTTATACATAAGTTGATATGCCTGATGGCATCCCACAGGTCTCTGGAACTCTGTAAAATTTTCTGCACTCTTTTTTCTTTCTTCTTCTCAATCTGGATAATCTCAATTGACCTATATAAAGAGCCGTTGACTCTTATTTCTACCTGTTCATATCTGCTGTGGAGCAGTATAGTGAATATTTTATTTTGGTGACTTTACCTTTTAACTGCAGAATTTCTTTTTCATTCTTTTTTTAAAATAATTTTTATCTCTTTTTTGATAGTCTCTGTTTAGACATTCTTTGAAAACTTACCTTTCACCTTTAGATAATGATTTTGTTTAGTTGTTTAAAGATATTTAAAATGGCTAATTTAGAACCTTTATCTAATAAGTCCACCATCTTGGCTGCCTGTTTTTTCCTCCCAGTGTATAAACCATACTTTCTTATTCCCTTTAATGTCTCATAATTTTTTGTTTAAGTTGGGACATTTTAAATAATAAAATATGGCTATTCTGAACGTAAGATTGTCTCACTCTGAGAATTTCTTATTGCTATTTGTTTGTTTAGTAATTCTCTGAACTTACCATGCAAAGTCTGTATTCTGTCATGTATGGTCACTGAGGTTTCTGTTCAATTAGCTTGGTGGCCAGCTAATGATCAGATGGAACTTTCTTTAAATGCCTAAAACCAGTTAAGTCTCGCTCTGAGTGTGTGTTTAGGCATACTTGCAACACTCATCCAGGCAATTTACAACACCTTTGCCTTCACTTTGTGCTTGCACAGGGTTTCAAGGTAAAGCTAAAGTGAGAGCTTAGAACCTTCTCAGGACTTTTCCTGAGAATGCTTACATCCTCACATGTGACTGCTCATCTAGATTTCCAGAATTATGTTGAAGCATTTGAAAGGCCCATATAGATATCTCATTCACCAGTTTTCCTTTTGAGATCGTTTAGTTAGCCTACTGTTTGTCCAACTGTCATCCGCTACCTTAGGAAGCCCCAATATTAAAAATTTGCCTCTGATTATGATCAACAAATTCCCCAGGGAAATGGCCATTTACAATGTGTCAGTTCCAAGTCAGGTCAAATAAAGACAGTCTGGTGAGTGCTGTTTACCAGGAAACTACCACTGAGTTCGAATAGTGACAGTTCTGTGGGATAGGGCTTTGAAGGAGTTCCATCCTTTCTTTACTCCATTCAGTGTCTGCTAGGATGCTGTTTTACAATCTGTGATTGCAGAGTACTGGTTTTCAAGGTTACTACAGATTTGAGGAGGGGAAAATGGGAATGAAGCAAGTTAAAAGCACCACAAATTCTCCCTATATAGCTGCAAGCCTTTGGTTCAATCCGAGAGTTTTTAAAAGTTATCCCAAAGATGTTTTCTAGTATTGTTATTTGTTTTATGGAGCAGAGAATTTTGAGAGGTCCTTATTCCGCCATTCTCTGACACCCCTGTTCATTTGTCTTTAACTTCAAAGTTGTTTCTTTCATTTTGGAGAATAGAAGAGATGGTATCTTTGAAAAGAAGGAACACCTGGATTCTATTTCAACTATGTATATAACATTTGCTCTTTTCTGTCTTAAAATTTGGGCCTCAGTTTTCCATCTGCGAAGGAGGGATGCAAATACATTTTCCCATCACCTCTGTAGGGCTCTGTGAACTAAATGCTATTATGTATGTGGAGATGCTTTGGTCCCTTTTGAAGAAAAACTTCGTAATAGTTACTTCCAGTTTTGGTTTCCATTGTGTGTTCTTAACGCCACTGAACCAATTGCTTATGTTTCTCTTCCTTTTCCCCTTTTCTTTCTCCTCTCTCTTTTTTTTTAGGAAGAAAAAATGCCCATCTCCCCATAGACATATGAGTAAATTTAACAATTTTAAAAAATATTTGAAGATGTTCAGGAAACACTGTTATCGTTATTTACCCTTAAGTGGAAATTATGATTATTTTACATATGACCAGTATATTTTAATGCAGTCCTGAATGTGATTATTAAAAGTTTTAAAATATACATAATACTAGAAATAGAGTTATGAAACCTACAGTAGTTTTTTATATTTCCCCTCTCTGCCTAGCTCTCACTTTCTCTTTTTTTTTTTTTTTTTTTGGTCAAGTACCTCCCTAGCTCCATCAGTTTTAAACGTCTCTGTGGAAAGTAGTTAGAATGCATGGCTTTTAAAAAGAAAATTGTGGTTAAATATACATAACATAAAACTGTTTTAACCATATTTAATGTACAATTCCTTGAAATTAAGTACATTTACATTGTTATGCAATGTATACATCTCTTTTTGAAAAATATAGATTTCATAGTTTCCAAGCAATATTTGCTTTGTGAGTCAATGTTGTTACTAAAATTAAGTAGTGTGGATTATACTGGGTATTGCTCATTTATTTTGAAGGAAGCCACGAGATTTATAAAATGTGATAGATATTGATTTTATTAGTCATGTTTCTTTACTTCATTTCATTTGTGAAAACAACTTGAGCAACCTAATCGTTGGTACATGATATGTTTAACTCACATCTCTTTTGGTGCTGCAGGTGGCAGTGCAGGCAGAAATTAACTCAGGGATAGCTATGTCAAGAGAGTTGTATCAATCAGCAACAATCTTTATGGGCTGCCAAATGTCAGCCATCTCAAGCATTGGAGATTTTAGTACAGTGCAGAAATCTCCCCATGCCACAAAGAACTTTTCAATTCCTGACCCACGTTCATACCAACAGATAGCCCAGAATAGTAATGTGACAGGCAGCTGTGTAGTACAAACTAATAGTGACACACGGTGCTTAAATAAGTCTGACAAAATAGATGGAAAGACATCTCTTCAGACTGATGAGAAAATGCTAGTCACAGCCAGCTCATTGTCTGAGGAGGAAGAAACTTATTGCTTGGAGATAGGAAGCAACATATGTCATGGCAAGAGTAATTTATCTGAAGGCAAAAAGTCCGCTGAACTCCATTCCTCGTTACAGGAAAGATTAAGTCCAGAGAACAGAACCACTGATTTAAAGTGTGACAGTTCCAGCCGATCAGAGGGATCAGAGGGAGAAATACTGTCACGAGAATATACTGAAGTCAAGGAAGAAAGAGCCAGACCACCCGTCTCTCTGATATCGGTCTTAGAACACTGTGCATCTGGAAATAAGTGTTCTCAAGAGAAGCATTCTGCTGGGGACGGTTTCTCAGGTTGGGTGAGAAGCTGAGATTCTTTGCCGATTTTTGTTGGTATTTAGTTTTTCTAGTTGGTAGTAAGTAGTCTTATGTAAGAACAAAATACACTCTAGTTTTCTACTCTTTGTCAAAAAACAAAGTAATGTCTTCTCCAAAAAAAATTCACTGTAATGAATTCTTAAATATGTGTGTGGAAATATTTTTGCAAGCAAATTCTCTTATTTTTAAGCTCACTGTGATATTTTTTAAATATTTTAATGAGATTTCAAATACTGTAATGAGTTGTGAATTGTTACTACATGTTTTTAACTCATGAAGTAATTCTGTCTGTGAAGTAGGATGTCTTATTTGCTTATCCCTGAAGTTAGTGATCAGTAATCTAGTCATATCCCCTCATAGGTCACTGTTGTAATGGGGCCCCAGAATCACAGAAGCCCTTCAGAAAAGTGCAGGAAGAGCAGGAAGAGGGAAGTTTGAGCAGCAGCAGTAACCTCACAATTTCTGTAAGTGAAGATGATCTGATTTTAAAGAGTCCAGAACCACAACGAAATCCAGGTGACATGATGGAGGGAGAAGATGGAATAGAGGCCTTAAAATTAATCCACTCTGAGCAAGAAAGAGATGCCCCATCCACTGAAAAACATAATTGTATTATGCAAATCCTGAACTCTCCTGATTCAGAAAAGGAATCCTCTACTAACTCACCAACAAGAGAGTAAGCTATTCAATTTTTTTTTACTGTTCTGTTTTTAATTATAAACATTTTTAGAGACAGTTCTACTTGGAATGTATTATTGAACATGTAGCCATGAATGAACCTATAAGTTCCTTAAGTCTCATAAATAGTGTTTTAGATAAGGTATAATTTTCTTTTTGTTTTGCTTTATGAAATAGCTTTAAAAATCTGAATATCACTGAAATCATGGTGACTGACAGTTTATAATTCTATCCAAATTATCCCTGGTAATTGATAAATTATTCCCCCCTCCCTCCCTATCCTTTATCCTTTTAGAAAATGAATCATTTTAAAGTTCTGATAACACACAAAATAACAAAGAGTTAAACTTATTAGGAATTCAGCTTTAGAGACTAAGAACTTGTATCTAATTAATTTGCTTAATTCTTACATTCCTTGATATAGTATCATTTTTATCATATGATTAAATATGAGTTAATAATTTCTTCTAAGGGAGTAAGTATCTAAGCCAGCTTTCCTTTTCTGAGTGTAAATATGAGTACATTGGAATCTTTAATGTTAAATCAGAATAGCATCAATGTTATATATTTTGAGCATTTATATTTAACTCATAAAAGCTCATATACGATTTTTTTTACTGTTGATTGGAGATACTGGGTAAAATTGTATAGACAACATATAAACAGTTGAAAACCAGTTCTGCAATAAAAATAACACTACTAGTATCAAATCTCTTTTAGGAGTAGAAAGAACTTAAGTAAATAAACTAAATTATCATCTTTAATAAATGAAGAAACCAAGGCCAAGGGCATAAAATGATACATAGGGCACTAGGGCAAACTCTTTGTTCAGACTCCTTGACCCCACACGGCTCCCAGAACTTTATTACATCCAAATGCTGTCATTCTTTCTTTTCAATAGTCCCTGCAAGTGTAAAAAGCCAAATGGGCATTCTTGTATATGAGGGTGTATGTTTTCTTTTAAAGCTCCATCGTACCTTTTAATATATTGCTTCTTACCATTCATTATCTATTCTTGGTGGAAAGTTTAATTTATAGTCTGATTGACATCAACTGGTGTTCAGAAAGTATTTATTAAGAGCACATCCAAGTTCAAAGTACTTGCTCTGTGGATGGAAGAAGCAACATAATAATGCCTGTTCTTGGAAATTTTTTTTTTTTTGCAGAAGCAAGCCAAATGAATTTTTCCAGTAATAATACTTCTCTCTCATCAAAGAGGAGCATTAACATACTACATCATCAGAAACGTTATTGTTAGAGGTGGAATGTATCTATTTTGGGTTTTATATTTGCAGGCTTTTTATAGCAATTCATTGGACAAGTTAATATTTTTATAGGCTAACTGGGAGACTTGTGTACGTACCTAGGACTGAGTCTTTTTCTGAGATGAAAAAATGTTGTGTATTGTGGGATTAAGCATGTTTTCTCTCTCATTCTCCTACATGAATGACTTTTTCCTATGACCTTAAAGCCAAGCTCCTTGGAATTTTGAGATACAGTTTTCCCAAATAAGCACATTTCAAGAACTCTAAATTTTTATCTTAGTAAAATGCTCCCAGAATGAAAGGTCAGTCAGTAATTATTGTTTTCTGTCTGTGTTATCAAATTTGAGTCTTTGATTTTCTGTGGTGAATGTATTCCCCAAGAATAGGTTGAAGGTGGTTTTAAATGCTGCTGGTTAACCTGTTAACACTGTTGCTGCTTTTGAGGTATTCTCTTATTTTCCTCTTTAGCATGAGCTTTTCCACCTAGCAGGGGAAGCCTATGTACAAGGAGCCTGCCCTTCAGAAGAAAATTCCAGGTTTTTTGAGGTCCCCCTCACATGCCAAAACTTTATTCCTTTTGATCATATATGAGTATATGGATATACCACATTTTGTTTATCCATTCATCTGTCAGTGGACACTTCCATTGCTTCTACCTTTGAAAGTCAAGCAGTTTTGGGAAGCTTCATGATTCATTCCCATGCATATGTGCAGATATAGAAAACCAGACTGTTTTTATGCACATGTAGATAATCCTTCTCTGCAAGGTATTATTAACTCTTCTCACAAGAAAGCATTCTAAAATGAAGGTGAATGTTAAAAAATGTTAAAAAGGAGGATGTTGAATCTTTTTATTCTTAAATGGTAAGTAGTTTGCTGTTAATGTTGGTACAAAGCTCTGTGACTTAAAACACCAGACATTTATTATTTTTCATGTGGCAGGTGGTTGGCCCAGTGCCAGTTGGGGCCACAGATATAACATGGGAGAGTAGTTCAGGCTCAATCACCTGGTAGTAGTAGCAGGATTCCCAAGGCAGCAAGAGAGCAAGCTCCAGTACACAGATCCTTTTTAAGTGTCTACTTATGCTGTTTACTCATGTCCTATTAACCAGAGAAAGTCACAGGGCCCTGTCCCAAGTCAAAAGGTAGAAAAATACAGCCTCTTTTGATGAGGTGAGTGGCAAAGTCACATTGCAGAATGGTATACACACAGGGATGAGAAGTTTATAGTCATTTTTTGCAATTCACTACTTTAGGACAAATTCATATAAAGATTAAGCTTCATATGAGTCAGAAAAGGTTTGGTACAGGTGCAGATGCAGCATTTTGAGGGCTATCTAGGCTTTGAATAAGAAGGAGGAGGGCCCTGGCTGGTGTAGCTCAGTGGATTGAGCATGGGTCTCTGAACCAAAGGGTCACTGGCTTAATTCCCAGTCAGGGCACATGCCTGGGTTGTGGGCCAGGTCCCCAGTTGGGGGCATGTGAGGGGCAACCACACACTGATGTTTCTCTCCCTCTCTTTCTCCTTCCCTTCTCCTCTCTCTAAAAAATAATTAAATCTTAAAGGTGGAGGAAGGAAGAGGGCAAATTAGGCTAGAGGAAGAGCACAAAAAGGATGTAGATACAGAGAACACAAAGGGCCTTGATGGGCAGAACAAAGGGTATGTCTGAGGGCTTGTGGAGGAGGACTTGCTGGGGTAAAGGTTTTAAAATGTTGTCTGGGGAAGGCTAAGAAAGACCTTGAATGTCTAGCTAATGAATTTAGAGTTTACTCCCTATAGTTTTTAGAACTGTTGAAGCTTATTTTATTGGTTTTTAGAGTGAGAGAGAGGAAGGGAAGGAGGGAGGGAGGAAGAGTGTGTGAATGTGTGTGAGAGAGAGAGAGACTTTGATTTGTTGTTTTGCTTCTTTTATGTATTCATTGGTTGATTCTTGTATGTGCCCTGACTGGTGATTGAACCTGCAACTTTGGCATGCTAGGACAACACTCCAACTAACTGAGTTACATGGCCAGGGCCAAAGGTTATTTTAAGAGAAGGATAAAATGGTGAGTAACTTAATTTAGGAGAATTAATCTGACATCATTAGGATTAATTATCTAGGTGGTAGGCAGAATTCTGAGATGGCCCCCAAGATTTCTAACCCCCTAAGGTATATTTGTCAAATCCTCACACCTTAAGTATGGGCAAAATTGTGAGTTTAATAGATTTTGCTCTCATGATTAGGCTGTGTTACATTACAGAGATGAAGGATTTTGCAGGTATAATGGAAGTCCCTAATTAGTTGACTGAGCTGATCCAACAGGAATTATCCAGAGTGGAAATGACCCAAATACATCAGCCTTTATGGGCCCTTAATAAAGTCAGAGAGATTCAAAGCAACTGAGATACTCTCCTGTTCACCCTGAGGAAGCCAACTGTCATCTTGTGAAGGTGTTATGGCAGGAAATGGTGTGAGGCATCTGGGAGCTGAAGGCTTCAGTTCTGTGGCCATAGGAAATTTAATTCTGCCAACAGCCAGTGAACTTAGATGAGATTGCAGCCCCAGCTGATTCCTTGATTTTAGCCTAGTGACTTTCTGAGCAGAAGATTCCTCTAACCCATACTCAGACCTCTGACTCTTGGGAACTCTGAGATAAGTTTGTATTGTGCTAAATTTGTGTTAATTTGTTATGCAGCAATAGAAAATTAATACAATCCAATTGAAGAATTGGAATCAAGGATTATATCTTTGCATTGATTATATGGGTAGAAGACAGTGGCCCAGAACAGGCTGAATTAGATGTGTTTAGGGTCCAGTGTGGAAACACATGTTGATAGAATGGCAAAGTGAGTGGCCCAGTAGCCAAGGTAACTTGTGCTTTCCCTTGCCCTATACCCTCATCATCTGATCAGATGTGTTTTCACATATGGCCAAAAGCAGGTAAACAAGTGTGAAACATGGTAGACTGGCAGGGACCTAGAAACATGGTTGTGCACATCCGCATTAGCCAACAAACAATTTTTCATGCAAACATTATTTCTCTGGTGAATGAAGCAATGTATGGAGAGTCTTTTTGTTTATTTTTCTTTGTTTACATATGCCATATATCCACATCTATAAAATCATAAAAAATAGTTTCTCTGCTTAAAAATCCCCTATACTCCATCTACTCACCTCTTTTCCCCCAATACCAACTGCTGGTAAACACTGATTTTTTAATTGTCTATAGTTTTATCTTTTTTAGAATGTTACATAGTTGGAATCGTATAGTATGTGGACTTTTCAGATTGGCTTCTTTCACTAACAGATATGTATTTCAGATTACTTCCTGTGTTTTCATGGCTTGATAGCTCATTTCTTCCACAGTTTATATATTCACCTACTGAAGGACATCTTTTGTGACTTTGTTGTTTCAACAATAATGAATAAAGCTCTACAGAATCCCATGTGCAGGTTTTTATGTAGATGTAACTTTTCAGCTTGTTTGGGTAAATACCAAGGAGTGCATTTGTTAGATTATGTGGTAAGACAAAGATTTGCTTTGTAAGAAACTGCCAAACAGTCTTCCAAAGTGGCTTTATCATTTTTCATTCCGATGAGCAATGAATGAGAGAGGTCTTGTTGCTGTACGTCCCTCTCAGCATTTGGTATTGTCAGTTTTTTCTATTTTAACCATTCTAGTAGGAATGTAATGATATCTCATTGTTTATACATGCAATTCCCTAATGACATGATGTTGAGCATCTTTTCAGATA